GCACATACAAACTATCTCCTTTACTTTTAAATTAATAATTTAAAATCAACAAAATTTTATTATGTTGATTCCGTTTTTCTGTTTACTCCTTGCATTATTGCAATTACATTTATCACAAGAGGCCATTTCAAATGTAAAGTTTGAGATGCAACTACAAGTACATGTACATTTTGCGAGACGTACAATGTACATGTACATGTAGGTATGAAATCATGGCATGCACATAAATGCCAATTAACTTAGTGGTAAGGAAATGTTTGCTTCTACTGGAGAAAAGGGAAGGAAATGTGCTTTAAAACAACTCCTGCTAGCTAATCAAAATGCCTTGAGGATAAGGAAAAGTTATAAGATTAACAAATACATGTTTAATTTGCATGCCTGCATGTACATGGGTATGATTATACTGTTTTAAAAAGTTTGGCAATGGAAGAAAAGAAAATGACCCTTTTTAATGAAATATGACGCTTTATGTAATGCATATGTAGATGGCTGCACTGATGACAATAAAATTAAAATGAGAACACAAACAGTTAGTTTCTCTTACATGATGAACACTGCATTTATTAGACAAATTAAGTTACAAGTATTGCATAGCAGGTTTTTAGGTCAACTACAACTTTGTGCATTTTACTTTCCCTTAGTGCATCACTCTACTTTGTTTTCTTGTAATTTTAAATCTAATTTTTGGAGCTTAGAGATTAAAATGTTTGGTTGAAAGGAAGAATCCTGCTGTACAGTATATCTATGTATGTGCTTTACATGCTCATTTATGTAGATATAAAATTGACCCTCACTATTGTAATACAATATTTACAGGTATAGTGTAAATTGAAAACTTTAAAGTGCGATCAAAATGCAAGATCATGTGACTAAAAAAATTAATACATACTAGAGAAATCAAACTACATGTACATGCATGCATGTACAGTACATCAACTTCAACTTACCACAGCATTGCGATGCTCTTGACTCTCAGGATCTCTACAAAATAAAGTATCAAATAATGGGCTTTAAACTGCATGCGTGACTCACAGTTGGGCCTGCTTTAGTTGCTGCTTTGCTTTGTATTTGTTCGGAGCCATTATTTTAAAAGAAGCAACTGTAATAATAATTTGTCATAAAATTATGGTCATTTACACATTTGATTGTGCATTCAAAACTAAATGACACACTTATGCTAACATTATTATTGCAAATAAACATCAACAACCAGTGATAATCATCACTTACACATTAATACAGTGCTGACTATGCAAGACTCGCTATGCATATTATTACAAAGTAGGAAAATTGACAACATTATCGATGGTAGCCAATGTTACCTACATTATATTCCATGCATAAAACTTAACTTACAAGCAATGTTTGGAAAATCTGGATTCTTCTCATTATGCTCTTTCAAGTTGTACACAGTTAAAAAGGGAGAGCTAAAAAGTCATATGAAAAGAGATTAAGCAAGAATTGTACTCACCTTGAAAGCTCAGAGTAAACATAGCCTTGATAATCTTTTGTCTTAATAAGAAAAAGAACAGTATCACCAAAGCGTAGCGAGCCATGACCTGCCTCAGCAAGCACAGCCATACTCAACAAAAGTAATACACAAATTCTGCACTGTACATCAACTCTTTTATAGACAGCAGGATTGCAGGAAGCTATAAAATAACTATTATAAAATCAGATGAATGCATACCAGGAGGGACTTTCCAGTGGAAGTTATTAATATTAATTGACTCTTCCTTATAACAGGAATCACTAGCAATTACATATGTAGTAAAATTTTATGAAGCAGCTCTCGATAAAAATTTTCCCATTTAACAGGAGTAATTACAGGAAGCTACATGCATACCTACAAAAAGGGACAAATATATATGTTCAAACATGTACACGTAGTTCTAAATTACATGTACATTGTACATGTACATGCAGACTACAGCTCAATAAAAAAATAATTAAGTTTTGAATTTTTTAGTCTTAGACTGCAGTGCATACATTTAAAGAAAGTATGTTGGCGAGGCACATTATTATGCTTTGTAAACAACTTTTTCTTACCATTGACCATAGCTCATGAGAGAGCAGATGTAGCCATTGTTAGCCAGTTACACATGTACATGTACATGTGTAGTTTCATGGTGGTGGGAGAGACCAGCACCATGAGACCACTAGCCAGTAATGAAGATGTCACAACTTTCTTTTGTGTAGCACACATCACTATAAGAAAAAAAAGAGAGAAAGAATTAAAATGGAAGGACTTTTAAGCAATGCATGAATACATTAATTGATATGTGTTAATCTAGTGTGATTTCAATCTTGCATGAAGAATATAATATGGGGTTCCGTTGTTGTTCTTGTGACTAATGTTGAATGATGTTTTGAATTGTGCTAGAAAAGCTGGAAGTAAAATATCATGCTTATATTTCATTATTCAGTGCTGGCTGCATTTCTGGAAATTCTGGTGAGCAAGAGCAATTTGGAATTTAGAACTGGAAATGAGAAAAATTAATACCTTAAGGCCACTATTATTTGCAAGTACTAATTTTTTTGCGTTTTTTGCGAGTGGCTTTAAATTCGCAAATATTAGTACTCACATCTATTAATAATTTTAGGTTTATTAACAATTATTAATTGAGAAAAAAGAGCAAAATCGCAAAAATTAGTACTCGCTAAATCAGTACCATTAACAAATTGTACAAATTTGTCTACTTAAAAATAAGTGGCTTTAAGGTAGATGATACATGTATGTCATACATGTACCATGCATGCCCTATAATAATGCTATTATTTACAATTTTGTGCTGTTACAGTACAGTACAGGGAGTACCAGCACTATGAGATGCAGTTGCTATACATGTACCATATATCCTCAAATAAATGCCGGAGTAGCAACAAAATGGAACTATAAATACGCAAATCTAGCCTTACAATAATATAGATGCCTTGTGTAGTTCCTTGAGCTTTCTTAAGCTTCATGAAGTCATTTGCGTGAGGTTCCTGGTTCAAATCCCACTATTTGCTTAAGTTTCAATTTATTTCCTAAATTTATTTCCACATGTAGGTTCAAATGTCATTTTAAAAAATCAACACCCTGGCTCTCATTTAAGGAAATACAGTGCATGTACAGATGTAATGACTCAATAATCAACAATTTATTATTCAAAAGTTCAGACAAGGAAAGGAATAAGAGAATGAAGAGATCAGTAAGACAGAGGAACACACAGAACGATACTTCAAGAAGTCATAATAATATCATTGTTAATAATCATAATAATAATTGAGTATGAATAATTGATCAGTATGAGATTATGAATACATAATTCTAAATGCATTACATATAACTCCCCTTCTTTTAAGAGCTCGTCCCAAGCAATGAGATATAAGGAGTGAATCTATCAAGGGGCCTTCAAGCACAAGTTGGTCTTGTAGCAGGTGTGGGAGAGGTTACTGCTGGTAGAGGGTCAATGTCATCAAATACTCTGTGTTCAAAGGGAGGCACTTCCTAGGCAGCTGAAGATGGAGGACCTGTAGGGTGGTGAGGAATACTGGGTGATGATGGTGAAAGATTCGGTCTCATAATGTGAGCTCTTAGACGGTTCACATGTACAGTCCGTAATCAACCAACACTGTGCTTAATCTGAACCGTGGGTTGATCTTTAAATTGTTTAACAACAGTCCATCCACTCTCCCACTTAGGATCCAGCTTACCAACTTTAGGGATTGATAGCCACACATGGCTGTTTTAGAAAACGAGAGACGAGGCTCTGATCATAAAACTTCTTTTGAGAGGATGCAGCTTCCGCGAGATTCAACTCCACTAACTCATACATCTTTGCCATTTGAAACTGAATGTGGTCTGCATATGACTGAGTATCATGTCCATTGGAGGATAGGCCATTTGCATCAAATATTGGCTCCCAGCCAAACATTAACAAGTATGGTGTGGTTCTTGTAGAAGAGTGGACTGAAGTGTGATAGGCATAGAGGAGGAGGGGAAGCCATTTCTCCTAGTCACTTGCTTGCTTGCAATATGACCTCAGCAACTGCAATAGAGAACGATTGGTGCATTCCACTAAACCATCACCTTGTGGGTGGTATGAGGTGGTTCTAGACTTTTGGATACCAAAAGCCTTACATGTTTGACGAAGTATAATGCTCTCAAAGTTGGCACCTTGTGGTCTGAATGAAGTACCGAAGGAACACCATATGTGCTAAATGCAGGGGCAGATCCAGGATTTTGGAAATGGGGGGGGGGTTGCAAAATAAAATGATGCGTGAAGTGCATCACAATTTTGACCACACCCAATTTTTGGCACGATTTTGTGGTTAAAATCACGGTAAAATTAACATTTCCACTATTTTTGGAGATCTTGTTTTGTTAATTATATTCATTAACCACAGTAATGTTGCTATATAAACTAGGTGGTTAGCACTCTACCACTATTGCAGCAATGAAAACATTAAAAATTTATGAGTTAGAATGTTTTGGGGGGGGGGTTCCAACCCCAGCAACCCCCCCCCCTAGATCCACCACTGTAAATGTAGATACAAAGGCTTGGACAATGGTGTTGGCTGTCTGACCTTGCATGGGAATAGTAACAGGCCACTTGGTAAAATAGTCTTAAATGACCAATATTATATTGATTTCCCCTGCTTGAAATAGGTACTTTAAGCACATCAACTCCCAACATTTCCCATGGCTTGAAGATAGGAGTGTTTACTAAGGGAGCTTGTGGAGGGAGAGGTGGCTTGGACCTGTTGCAAATATTACAAGAATCACAGTATGATTTAACATCAGTAGCATACCAACCCAATAGGCTTTACTCTTCAATCGAAGAAGAGTCTTAGCAAACCCAAGATGACCAGCTAATGGAGCATCATAAAACTGTTGGAGGTAAGAAGCTCTAAGACTGAAAGGAGCAATTGGTATTATAGTTTTCTCCACAGTAAGAGGTTGCGTATATTGCCTGTATAATACACCATCCTTAATCAGTAACTGTGGCCACAGTTGAAGCCATCTCCTGTATTGTGGTTGGTTCCAGAGCCCTCCTTGTGGTTTCCTGGAATTCTTCTGAAGTGAAGTAATGATCTGAGATAAAATAGGATCAGCCATTTGAGCCTGTATTAGCTCCTCTTTTGAGGGACCTTGTATGATTCCTGTGGCAGCTGAGTGTACACAGCAAGAGAGAGAATCAGCATTGGAGTTTTGGGATAACAAATCTTAAATTCAATTCTTGAAGCTGAAGAGCCCAACGACATAATTTGCCTTCCATTTTCTGAGCTGAGAGCCATTGAAGGGGATTATGATCTGTATAAACTATAAATGGCTTTCCCAATAAGTATCCAATTGTCCTTGTCCTGATACATCTGGTGCTTCTAAAGCTGATAGTGTTTTCCACACATTAGTGAGGTTCACAAGATTGTGACAACTTTATAAGAGAAGCATTCCAAGAAGTATACTGTTGAACAAATCAGGGCATGGGCTCATATGTTACGAATGGAAAAACACGCATCATATGATGAACCACCAAATAAGCCATTTTTAAAACCAAGGAAGGCAAAGGCAGCATTCAAAAGATTACATTATCTCCAAAAAAGTGAATTGAGCTGCAATCAGAATGTGTGGACCAGCTTCAGAAACACAGAGAGTTAATGGATAAAGATATTATTAGCGAAGAACAATATGAAGAATTACCAGAGAAGATATTAAAGGATATTAAAGAATTATAAAATTATAAATGCATTGGTGTATCCTTATTTGTTATCATACTACTCATTTAATTTATTACCATAACCAGAATGATTAATCCACTGCTGAGTGCTGACACATTCTGCTTGTTAACTTTTAATTTAAGAATCTATTATACACATAGGAATTGGATCAATGGTTACTTGCATCACATCTTCATGTAGCCTAAGGTATTGCTTAATATAGTTGAATGCCTCTTCAATTGGGTTTAAGTGAGGAAGGAATTGAACCACTATGCCCATATTTTGTAGCAGTGTTGTTATTGGTTGACAGTGATGAACAGGTAGAATGTCCATTACTACCAATGAGTTGTCATTCGCTCCATCAAATTGCTGTAAGTTGGGAATTAAATCGATCAGCTCAAATAAAGTTATAAAAACAATTTGATCTCTTTTTATCAGTGAGATAATAAGCAACAACAACAGAACCAGAAATAGCAACTATAGCATTAATACGTTTTCCTCAAGACAGTATGTTTAACTGCTCTTTCCCCTCATTGCATATCCATACTTTCTCAAATAGTTCCTTTTGTCCTTGCCAATTTCATTAACCCAGACAAAAACATTACGACTATAGAGAGATAGCCATGAAATTTGCTCTTAAAGTTGATGACCTTTGTAATGCAACTTTTTGAACTGCCTTTCTTGTTAATCCATATCTTCTTAAAAAATGACAAATAGTAGGCACAGAAACTGTGGTGTTGCTCACTCTTTCTATTTGTCATTTTATTGATATAGATGTGTTGCTAGAGATTGTAATATCAAACTAGAGATTGTAATATCAAACATTATGATAAAATATTCATGATTATTTATCTAAGATATGTAGGTGACTTTTGCTGCCACTTGGTGCCCGTACTCTCCTACTGATGTCCCCTGTTGTCTTGAAAGTTAACCAGAGCCTTCTCGCATTTTCATATCCAATAAATAGCTGTTTGGATATTTTTCTGAATAGTAGGTCTTTTACTATTCTAAGCCATACCACTCACCATCCAAAATCTTCTGCTAAACCTGCATCCCATACAGTTTGTAATAGAAACGTTAAATGGTCAAATCTGAACTCCAGTCAAGATATCTTCAGTTTTAATTCCTTGCATAGCAGCAGTTGAAGTGGTAGCACTCATGACAGAGTGAGCTTTAAAAACACTGGTATCTATTCCCACCAGCTCCATGATCTGTTTCAACCACCTAGCAATACTGGAAGAAGTGACTGGTTGATGTGGCTTGATAAAGGAAATTCATAATTGCTTAGCATCCCCTCTTAATTCTCTGGTCCTTTCAATGTAAAGGCTCAGAGATTTCACGCATAGTGCTTCATCTTCATTAAATTTAGCAAAAAAAATTCTTTAAAGTTTTTGCCCAGTCTGGATTGTTTAGCCAGTGGAGTGGGCATTAATACTGCACCCTCAGGGGTATTCCTATACCCTTTAAGGCTCAGGTTAGAGAGGTCAGCTGAACGAGATAGGCAAGTCAATGCCAATAGCATGACAGTTCGTAAAGACAACTGCTTAAGGTTCATGTTGTTATCCAAAGTGTCGCTACTAATATAGAGTAAGATCAGGTCTACATGTACATCCCAAGTACCCTGATATCTTGGTAGAGGTGGGAGTGTTTGAAACACTCCTTTCAGAGTCTGGTGACTAGTGGATGCTGACCAATGGATAGCCCATCTACCGGGGAGTGCAACAAAGCAATGACTGACCTGTATGCATTGAGGGAGCTACTGTATATTGATATCTGTCTTTGTAGAGATATGCTAAAAAAATGTGATACATCTGTTGTGTATGTTGATTGATTCATTATTGTCATTATGATTATTATTTTTGTACTGAGCATGCACAGTTGTGCAGAAGCTCATGCTCTATTGAGAAGAGAAGCTGTTGAAAGAGAATTAAGCTTTCTCGGATCTTTGCAACCATTATACAGTCCTCTAAAGTGACAATTATCCTATATGGTCCATCAGAGATGAATCTAACTGAGAGGGTCAAGAGTCAATTAAGGTCAAGCTAGGTCAATAACATGTAAGTCAGTGGGATCACACAAAAGCACATGTACATGTACATGCATGTGCACATACTTGCCAGCGACATTAATTGTACATGCACATGTTTATAGTAGTCAAGTGTTGGACAAGTACATAATAATAATTGTTGAATTTATATACTTCCCGATTTAAATGTAGTATCTTGACTAATTTTCAAGTAGTAGTAGTTATAAAATCATTTTGGCATTTTTCTAGCACATAATGTCTTAAAATTAATTAATTTATCCTTTATTCTCATGCCTACACCATGTGTTGCTATATCTGCAAGATGTATGCAAATACACCAATATCCGACACTATAAAAAACAGGTTGATAAGCCGATATCCGATATACCAATCCAATTATCGGTACATCTCTAGTTAACATACAAGTGCAAAACAAATGTAATGCATAATATTATAATTGACACGTATCTAAATTATAATAACTTACAATTTCCATTAATGAGTAGACAAACACCCAAAAGTTAATGAGCTGATTGACCTGAATAACTGAACTGTACCTTAGAGAGAGAGAGAGAGGAGAATAAAGAAGAAAAGTAAGACAAGACAATTACTCTAAAACCACAGTAATTAATAATAATATAAAAATCAATCAAGCAATTGTACAAATACAAAACCTCACTAGCCTAAAAAACAATACATTAAAATGAGGCACCTATGGTGCGTGGCCTCACTGCAATAGCTGCTTGATTATCAACATTAAAAGAACTTTGGTATGAAGAGAGTCTACTGCTACATATATACATGTAGCTTCCTGCAATTGCACTTGCTCTTAAATACCTGCGGAAGTAGCAGCACAAACATGCATGCAAGCTGCTCCAGCTCCTCCCATGCATGTAACTTAAAAGATGTGGCATTACATTTACATCATCAACTGCAATACACTATACTGCCCTTTTAAGAGTTCTTGCAACGGCTCAACCACCTTAAACTTCAGTCATGTGATTGTGGGTTAATTGTCACGTGATTGATTTAGTTCCCAGGCAAAGATGGTCATCTGGCTCTGGCTCTGTCACGTGATCAAATCGGTTTGTACGCGTTGCAAGGACTCTCAAAAGGGCAGTACTAGGCAACTTGCTGCTGGCAAGCAAGCCACATGTTGCCAAAAATAGAACATCTTTCTATTCTTGTATTTGAGATAGTACAGACACTTTAATACCTGTAGCCCCATAGGTTTTCACTCCAGCGCTTCACAAACTAGAACCAGGACAAATTTGAGTAATTAAAACTCTTTATACAGGTATTTGACGAACACAAAACAGTGAAGAAAGTGGGCTTTTCCAGGTTAAAACTGAAGAAAGATCTAGGAGTTTGGAACACGCTGTGTTAAAGTTAGTTTATGAAAGACAACATTCAGTTGTACAGAATGAATGGACAGACAGAAATGACAACTCATTACCTAGGCCAATAATATTATTAATGTAGTCTTGGGGCCAGACTATCATTAATGTATAACCATAATAGTCATGATCAAAGACAAAGGCAGTAGTTTTATACACATACATACAGTATCTCTCTGACTCACTTGTCATTTATCATCTTAAAAACAGAGACTGTGGAAGTGTGATCTTCTACTCCATGATACTGCCCATAGGTGGGGCTAGCTGTATTTATTATAGTACATGAAATCATCAAGATTCACTTGGATCATCATTGCAAGATCCATAAATCCCTCCCCTCCATATTATGTACATCTAGATCTATTATGCAGGTTATGGAGCACAGAAATGTGATCCAAGTGGAGTGAAAAGTGCAGTGAGCACTTCGCAATGGAAGCCATTGAGCTATTGCCAGTCATCTTAGCACAAGTGCCAATGCCTCTAAGACAGCTGACACAATATCTAAAATTCTAAATTCATAAAAACCAATGAAAATAATTAAGACAGCATTAAACTAAAAACAAACTAACTAAAGTCTAAACTAATAATAAAATCTACCTCAATGCACACACTCTAGTGCAAATAAAGAGAACTACACTACTGAAAACTACACTACTGATGTTCAAAAAATGATGCCATTTAGGTATCAAAACAATTTAGTTCATTGCTGGTCAAAAGAAGAAGTAGTATATGAGCTTGATTGGCCTTTAAGAACTTCTTCCTCCCACTTGTTTTGTTCCTGCCTTTTAACACTGAGGCTTTTCTTATACTCTTTCTCTCTAAAGTATCGCAATATCTCCTCTACCTTCTCTTCCAATTCATCAATCTTGTCATCTGTATCTTCTTCATCAATAAGACAACATGCTTCTTCTTGAGGAAAGAATCCAGTATTATTTTTAAGCATCTGTTAAATAAATAATACATGTGTAAATAGTATTATTCTTACATAAACTACAATTAACACTAATAATTGACATTTTAATGTCTAGCTATGACATTTTGTATGCCACATTATACCAAGAATGGATAATCCACTCTTGCTTATACTGAATGCTTTTGGAGTTTTGGTCTGCATGTTGCATATGAATTGTGCATTGAAATTACTAATTAGTCTGTTCATTTGATAGTTAATGCAATGCAAGATAACAAAATAATTTACCAAATCATAGACATATTTTTGAATTGCATTATGATCACCAATGTCAATACTATCAAGGTACAAAGAGTAATAGACATAATTCCACATGTTATGATCATTTTCAATATGTTTAGAGAAGCCCTAGAGACAGGAAAAAAATAAAAGAGATTACAATTTAAAATCATACTTCAGCTCTCCTTTCAAAATCATAGCTTGGAACATCACATATAAAGCACTTGCTTTTCTGATCAGTTTCTATGTTATTCTATATTAAAAAATTTAATATCATATTACATGTATATAGCATTTTATTTGAACTTACTCTTTCTTCTCTCAGCTCAGAGAAAGTATCCACTATAATACCAAAGACTATATTCAGGCCAATGGTAGTAACAATTATGAAAAATGAAATATCAAAAATGAGACGTGCTGTAAACACCCCAGCAGTAAAATTAGGAGCACTGCCATCTCTTTCAAATGGGATCAACTAAAAAAATACAGAAACAATAGATTTAAAAGATTTTCTAAAGCTTACTATTCCCAAATTATCAGTCAGACCGTATC